ATGCCACCATATCAATGGATAAACAACATAGTGTTTAGTATTTTAAATGATAAATTGCTGGTAGCTTTACTGCACGTATGTGGTCCTTCTGCTGTATGGTTGTCTCTTTTCATTGTTGAGTGTTACTGTGGTTGAACAGCACGCGCAGCCACCTCTTTCTCTATTGCTCACAGTGCTGCTCGCTGTCCACTATGACAGAGTGTCACTGATGTCCCTCCATCATGCAACAATGACTTTCAAAGGTCAGCGATGTCTGAGTTGACTTTAATGCCTGTTACATTGTCTAGACGTATCAGTCAAACATTATGGCTGTGCTTGTATTTTGCTTTATGTTATCCACATGACAGATTATTTTTATTTTTTGAACTCATTTCAAGCCTACTTGTGGGAAGGATCTTTCTACATCCTTCGCAGCTTTTCCTCAGGTTTAGCCCATTTGTATCCCTCTGAATCCTTTTGTTGGAGGTTTATCTTGTTCCCATTGAAGGTCTCATTAGGCAGGTGTTAAGGTTCTTAAAGCCAAATGACAAAATAGATGGTTTGTAAAGCAACTGCTCACCAAGTCAGCCCAAATGACTGTTCTTAATCTTGCACAAACATTTTTGTTTTTCCACACACAATGACAGACATGCCAGTTCCAAAACTCTCCACGCTAAGTGTTTCCAGTAGACCATCACGTAGTCGGGGTTGAGAATAACTTGGTTGAGATAAAAACAAAAGAACCAGTGTTTTACTGGTGAAGAGAGTCCCTCTTTTATTTTTGTCAACAACAATCTTGAAATAAAGTCAGAGGCGCTGCTTGTCAACAGGCAAGGAACGCACCTAATTGGGGCCCCAAGCCAGTATAGGGGGCCCCCAAGGGCTGATCAATTTTAAACCATGGCATTGGCTAAAAATGTGCAAGGTTTGCAATGACAGTTGGAAACCTGCCTAAGGGGGCCCCATCTCACATTACTCATCTTGTTGCACTGCTGAGCATCATCAGTCGGCAACCTCCGGTCTTGAAAAATGATGCAAATGCGGAAGTGCAGCATTTCCAGCACGGTGACTGTTGCCGATGAGCCTTGCGTGCCATAACAGCTGGCTGACATCACCCAGGCTTCGTCCATTCATATTTACAATATATATATATACAATATAATAATGCATGACATGCATTACTGCTGTGAAAACCAACATCTGTTTATGAAAGTCAGAGGAAAATTAAGATTTGTCATGATATTTATATCTACAGTATATTCTAAAAATAATAGTAACGTCAATTTTGGCAATCTTATGTTGTCATATTTTTTACGACATGATGTTGATAAAAGCTGGATGGAGGGGCCCCCCTGTGAATTTTTTCCCAGGGCCCCAACAGACTCTAGAATCGCAACTGAATATAGTAGCTGCCACTGTTACTTTGTCAGCTATGTAAATAAACTGCTCATGGACTTTAAAACATGTGTTGGTACACCCACATTGTTATTGTCACTCACTGCCAATATTTTCATTTTTAAAGCACAAGCTTTAGTTTTGGCATGACACTTTTCATACCCTGACCCAAACAGATCAATGTCCAATTTTTGCCATGTCACTCAGAGAGAAAAAGCCGAACTGATAATCTCATTAGCCCCGATCTATAATCTTAAGGTTTAGTACTGCTTCATGGTGACAAACTGGCCTGTCCATGTCATGTGAACTAAATGAAGGGCTAGTGGCCTTATGTCATTCTGTCTGACATCAGCTGACAGGCTGAAGGGGTGAATGATGGCTTTTTATGAAGAAGAATGGCAGCTTTACAGACCACCAGCTGCTCCCAAACATTCCTCTCTAATCTCACATCCACCATGTCTATGTATTGGGTTGTATACAATTCAATGTGTATATGCCCACATGTATGGGTCGTGTATTTTTTGACAAGTTTTGTATTAAGGTAGGTAGCAACTGATTCAATTAAGGTGCCACAGCAGCAATTTAGACTCTTTAGCAGACTCTTTGTCCAGAGCGGCATGCATGTGAGAGTAAGAACAACACAAGCAAGGATCCAGAGAGGAGGAAACAATGTCAGTAAGTGAAAATGAACTGCTTTAAGTCTGATCAGACACAGGTGCTGACAGGCAATGCAAAGAGGCAATTCACCATTTTTAGTTTTTTTTTTATACATATTATAATCATCAACAGCATCAACATCTTATCATGAGAATTCTGCTAATCCTACACATCATCTTCATCAATATCATTACAGTAGGTGTGTAGGTGTGCATGAAAGAGCTGGGTCTTTAGCTTTTTCTTAAAGGTGAAAGGGGACTCTGCAAATCATTAGTTCGTCTAGCTAAGTTCTTCTAGGAACTTAGAGCCCTGTTACAAAGATTGGACCAAGCGCCTTTCATTGGCAGAGTTTAGTGTGTGTTTTTATGTGGGAGAGGGGTAGACCTGGATTAGAGAGTTAAAGTACTTCGGGATTTTTCATTAGTTTTGTCTTTTAATTTTTGTTTGACTTTTTGTTGCCATTTTGTTTTTTGTTCTGGTTTGTTTATTCAGTTGCTTTTTTTTATTTTGTGAGAATAATTAGTTTAAGTGTTAGTTTTTATTTTTAGTGTTACTTTTATTTTTTCTGTATCTTTGTCGTTAATGGTTCAGAGAGAGTTAAAAAAAAATGTACACACAACACAGTTTCAATAAGTTAAGGTTTTTTGTGATAAATAAGATAATTTACTCCTTAGAAAGAAGGAGCCGTTTTAGTAGCTGTTTTGTAATCGAGCAGCGGGGTTTTAAATTTGAAGCGAGCAGTAACTGTGAGCTAGTGAAAGGAGATGAACAGCGGAGTGACATGCGTTTTTTGGGGTTGGTTTAAGACCTGTTGCGCTGCTGTGTTTCAAATGATCTGCAGAGGTTTGATCGTGCATGTAGGAAGACCTGCCAGTAAGGAATTGCAATAGTCAATGTGTGATATCACAAGAGCCTGTACCTGGAGCTGTGCTGCACGCTCTGACAGGTAAGGTCTGAGCTTCCTGATGTTGAACAGGGCAATCGAGGCCATGTGAACCTTAAATGTTAGCTGAGGGCAAGAGTTTGGTCGGACCAAGCTGGCTATTGATCTGTGGTTGCATTGAGGGACTGTCTGGGATGACAAGGAGCTCAGTCTTGAGGTTGTGTTGAAGGTGGCGTCCATTGTTAAATTGAAGACACTAAAAAAAACCTTTATGAAACAACCTAGTATGAAAAAAGAATCTCCCAAAGGCTCACTCATTTATCATAGAGTATTTAATCCACCCTGACAATGTGATCTCAACAGGGGATTCCAAAGAGATAAAGGTTTACTCATTTCATCCTAATTTTTACTATAATCCGAAAGGTCAGGGGATTATGTGATTTGTTATGGAGCTGAGATTAACCACGTCTGTACCTTGTTTTCAGGTAACTCATTGACTTTAAACACAATAATAATAGTAATATTTAAAAAAAAAACGTTTAGTTCTCTGTCAACACTAATCATAAATGAAAAAAACATGAATGATGCCGAGCAGTACATACCTGGACATTAATATTGATAGCAAACTGACATGGAATGCTAACAGAAAAGCTACATTTGTAAAGATTCAAAGGCATCTCTACTACCTTTATTAGCAAACGTAGAAGTTTTTGCACAGACAAAACAATGCTAGCGCTGATTTTTAAGACCGTAAATCAAAGTTTACTGACTTTTTTTTCTGTTTTAAGAGCATGTGGGAGAATTGTCTGTATAACAAGAACAACTGGATATGTTTATCTTAGAATAGACTTGACCCCAGTATACCACCCTGGGTCTAAACATGTGCTTTTACTTTCATCATGAAGGTATAGCATGTAAACAGTTAGGACTTAAGAGCAAGAGGATTAAGGGCATCACATATCTTCTTCATTGCATATTTCAGCTTCTTAAGATGCTCTGATCACATGGTCTGAATTTGGTTCTTTCTTGACATCGCACTTACATTTCCATTATTTCAAAAAGTATCCCTTTTTTAAGGTATCAATGTTGCTTATGCTTCATTTTATATAATAAACTGGTAGTTTATGTTTGTTATGATCTGTGCACAACTTTAATACTCTTCGGGGTATAAGAGGTTCATTCATTCATTTCATTCCATGTGTTTGTATTTTGGAACACCAGGGGGCTTGAGCTCCTTCATATGGATGATTTATCTTGTCTAAAAGTTTTTTTATAACATTTAAGTTTAACTTGTCATCATGTTTAGTTGCCATTTGTAACTTGTCATGGTTCTCCTGAGATGTGCAGCTGTATAATACAGGGTAGAGGCAAACATACAGTATTGTTTACAGAAATGAGGTATACACCGGTTAAGTCAGTGCAGTATTAACAGGACTTTTTTATGACAGTTTCCACGCATTTCTAATGTCATAGTTGAACTGTTAAATACCATAAATGTTTTGCATTTCTACTGAAATCAGCCCCCCCCCCCCTCCTCGTAGAGCTGCAAGAGCTGTACTTCGTGATGGATGGTCGTGCTTGTGAGCTCTAGCTCTGCTCGCTGCTCACTACACGGGCTTGTGTTGCCCGCTGGAGGCGAGGCGGGGGAAGACACGCAAACGGTGGGGAAAGATGAAGCACTCCTTATTTCCCTGCCTCTCCCCTCGCTTGCTGTGGAAACCCGTGGCCACCCTATTCGTCTCCACAGTAGACAGAAGAGGCACTGGCAGGTTGAGGGCTGCCAACTCCACGTTTAACCGAGAGAACTCCCCTCAGCAGAAGAATTGGTTATCATTGTGATCATTTTGAGATTTATCTCAATGCTTAATATGATGATCAAGTAGAGAGAGAGAGAGAGAGAGAGAGAGAGAGAGAGAGAGAGAGAAGAGAGAGAGAGAGAGGGGGGGGAGAGAGAGAGAGAGAGAGAGAGAGAGAGAGCAGTCTTGCTGTCATCTACAGGTCTGGCAGTCTCACCCAACCTGCACAACGCGCTCCCTGACTCGTATTTTTTTTTTTTTTTTTTTTTTGCCTTGATGCGCGTCGCCGCCAAGAAAGCCAGAGACCACCTCGCCCTCTCCTCTCTTCACTTCGCTTCCTCTGCTCTTCTCGTCAGCACCCAGAACTATAGTGCAACCGTTACCATCACTATTTCCCCCCGCTTCTTCCTCTAACTCTCACCGCCAGATCTCTCGCTATTGCGTCTCTCACCCCTTTCCTCTCCCTCCGCCACCTCCCCGGCTCAGTCCCTCACTCCTCTCTGACGCACGACAGGGAAAACGGACGCCAGGAAAGAAAGCAAGAAAAAGGTAGCAGCTGAACCTCGCGCCAATATGATCCACACACTCCTGCTATCGCTGCACCGGACAGGGACACGGTCCTGAAACCGAAAGGGGAGCACTCTCACCCGGCAGCACAGTTGTTGATCGCTCGCCCGAGAGGGGGGGGCGGAGGCGACGGCGGCGGAGGAGAAAGAGGAGGAGGAGGAGAGGGGGAGGAAGAGGAAGCGGACTGGCACAAGTTGAGGGCTTGCATTTTAAGCAAACTGCTTTGAAAAAAAATAAAAAGAAGAGACAAGAAAGAAGGGAGAGAGTCAGAGTCACCGGAGAGCAAGAGTGGGGGAGATTGCATTCCTATCACGTCTTCATTCCTCCTCTCTCCTCTCTTTTGCCTCAGCCACAGAGTGAGAGAGGGAGGGAGAGAGAGAGAGAGAGAGAGAGAGAGAGAGAGAGAGAGAGAGAGAGAGAGAGAGCGACAGAAGGAGCAGGGAGAGAGATCTAACAAGATTCATAGTGGTCCTTTTTCCCGATGCTTTCCAATCGCAGTACCAAACTAAGGTGAGTGCTTAGGCAATGTTTGCCTGTGCTGGAGTGTATCATGGGGAACCTTATGCAGATGTGTATGTGTGTGTTTGTGTGTTTGCATGCTTATGTGTCTGCGAAGCCATGGACTTAAAAGGGAACATCAAGCATCTCCGTAAGCAGGATAACGGATCGCAGGGATCCAGTCGTCTGATCAATAGCCGTTTGTTCTTCATTCGCCGTTTCCCTGCCAATGTCACGACGGAAGGCTACTGCATTATGCTTGGCATTTATTTCAATAAGCTGTCTGCTGTCTGTGCTGTATTGACAGCAACATTGTTCTGTGTTAAATTCCAGTAAATGTGAGCACGACTTCTTGTTTTGACGCAAGGGAGATTGTCAGGTGTCAACGTTTTACAATAACTTAGTTGAATATGAATTCAGCCTTGCAGTCTGTTAATTGTTTTCACTGGATTTTCCACTTTTAATGTATGTAAGTACACAGGGCTCTGGAGAATTTCCCCCAGCTTGGCTTTGAATCCGTGGCTCATTCACATGCGCATCTCTTCCTCTCTCCCTCCTCAATGCCCTGCTCTCTCTCCCCCCCATCTCTCTCCTCTCCTCTCCTCCCCTGTCCTCTCCTTTTCCCCCGTTCCTTTGACGGCTCCGTCACCCCCCCCCCCCCCCCCCCCCCCACAAATCCCACCCCCCTCCCCGCATTTCTTGTCCTCTCCCTCGCAGCCCGGCATCGGACGGTGAGCGGGACGCACCGGGCGACAACGAAACACACCGCAGGAGGATATGTGAAGTTGGAATCCCACTAAACTAAGTACGTATATCAACTGATTTGAAACATCTCAGGGGAATGCGATATGGAACGCGTTATTTTTTCAACTGTTTGAATCTCGTTTTGACTTTGTGTTTTTTTTTAAACATCGCATCTGCGCTTTTTGATCTCTACCGTGGAGGCGGGATCGATAAATCCTGGAGGATTATGCACGGAGAGGGGAATGAAAACAGTTCGTTTTGCATTGAGGAGCTCGTATTCTAGGATATTTTTTTCATGTTTTACCACCAGCTATTTTTAGGGGGATTACTCGATATTTTCTATTTTTCCCTCTCTACTTTGCTTCTTTTTTTTTTTTTGCTGGGCTTTGGAGAGCGGCTCTACGGCAGACGGTCCCGGCGCTTCATCTCCTTTGGAATTTTTCAGCACCGTCGAATGAACGGACAGCTCCGTGTACGCACGTTTGTATGCATGCGAGTGTGTGTGCGTATGCGCGCGCGTGTGTGTCCGCGCGAGTATGAGAAGTCACAGCCTGCAGAAAAGATATTCAATGCGTTTGTTTTTGTGTCTTTGACTTTTTCCCACTTATCACGGGAACGGGATCTCGGATCATCCCCTCATTTTCATGTAAAAAAAAGGACTTTTATGGGCCTTATTATTATTACCAATATTATTATTATTATTATTGTTATTATTAGTTTAAATTTGTTTCAAGGCCGGCCGGATTTACTCAAACACAGCCTCTTATCTGAGCGTCTTGGAGCAACTTCTTCGCCCACTGCGCTTTTCACGTGCCGTTATTCCTTTAACTATTTCCTCAATCATCACCATCAGGGAAGCTAGAAATACACGCTTTGTTTATGTTTTTGTAATAGGAGAGACTCAATTACACTGAAGAAGTTGACAGTTTCTCCTGTTTACTGGATGCATTTGTTGGTTATTTAACTAGAAATCGCCAAGGAAAAATAGCTCTGCTGTTTTCTGCACTTGAGAACCATCGGACCATTTGGACCAGCCCCATAACCCCCACCCCCTCATTTTGACATGATTCTGACGTCTTTGCACTGTTGAAAGCGGCCCCTGCAGCGTTGAAGCATTAATGGCACTATTACATTTTTTTTTTTTTCTGATTTCATATACATATGCTGAGATTAATTTAATGTGATGGGATGTTCAGCAAGTCCTCCAACAGTCCTCATCTCATCCCGCTAATGGTCACCAGGCTGACACCATTTCCTTCTCGTCCTCTCCCTGCGTCAGACCTTCGGTGCACCTACTCGATTTCCCCCGCGCTTTTCCTTTACTCTCATTTATCTAAAGAGGGATTGAGGTCCCTCTTATGTAATAAACACAGCACAGGGACGGTGTCTCCTCACCACCAACCTCGCCCACTTGCTTTTTGCCGCCGTTTATTCACAGAGATAAGCATCTCTGAGCTGATTTATTGCAACCTTAGCAGCACATCTGCTGTATAATAAATTCCCCCAATATACTGACGGTAACTGTCTGAATGCAGAGATTTGTTTGTGTAGCAGAGTATCATATCACCCATCCAAGTGTGCTGGCTTATATTTTCTTTAAAATTAGCAAACAATATTGCACATCTAAAGCAGTATCCTACGTCATTATATTATGTAATGATTTCAAAGTTGTCTTCTAATCTGCTCAAACTAATGCCTTCTTTCTATCTCTCTCTTTCCCCCCCTCTGTCTGTCTATCTCTTAACTCACGCTTCACTTTGAGTGTGTGTGTTCTTGTTTGTTTATTACCTTCCCAACCATTCTCACCCTCCTCCCTTTCCATTGTCTTTTCTCTGTTCTCTGTTGTAGTGCTGTGAAGTGGCTCTGTCCCTGGAGCCAAAACTTCATCCCCGTGGTGTCAGCAAGGATGCTGTGGGTTACCTTGCTGAGCACCATAGCCTTAGGATGGACCACGCCGATCCCACTACTCGAAGACTCCGAGGAGATAGACGAGCCCTGCTTCGAGCCCTGCTACTGCGAGGTCAAAGAGGGCATTTTTCACGTCCACTGTGACAGTAAAGGATTTACAAACGTCAGCCAGATCTCCCAGATTTGGAGTCGGCCCTTCAAGCTCAACCTGCAGAGAAATTCGATGAGGAAGCTTTACTTTAACAGCTTCCTCCACCTAAACAACGCGATATCCATTAACCTCGGTAATAATGCCTTACAGGATATCCATGCTGGGGCATTCAATGGCTTAGGAATACTCAAACGGCTCTTCCTACACGAAAACAAACTTGAAGTTTTCCGGAATGACACTTTTCTGGGCTTGGAGAGTTTAGAATATCTCCAGGCAGACTACAATGTTATCAAACGGATTGAAAGTGGTGCATTCAGGCACCTCCACAAACTGAGAGTGCTCATACTAAATGACAATCTCATCCCTGTGCTCCCAAATTATCTTTTCCGGTCTGTGTCACTCACTCATCTGGACCTAAGAGGAAACAGACTAAAGACATTGCCATATAAAGGCACACTGGAGTATGTTGGGAGGAGCTTAATGGAAATCCAGCTGGAAGAGAACCCCTGGAACTGTGTCTGTGAGATTGTCCAGTTGAAAACATGGCTGGAGAGGATCCCTTATACAGCTTTAGTTGGGGAGATCACATGCGAGTACCCGTTCCACTTACATGGGAAAGACTTACGGGAAATCAAGCGCAGCGAGCTCTGCCCGTTACTTTCTGATGCAGAGATTGAGGCCAAGCTGGGAATTCCCCGGGTCCCTTTTAGCAATGAGAACACATGGCCTACTAAACCTTCCTCTATGCTCTCCTCCTTTCACAACACAGCCTCTTCTGTGGAATACAAGGAAAGAGTCGTCAAGCCTACCAAACGACCTCGGCCCACAAAGAACTCACCAACCCCTCGTAGCGTCTACCCAGGTATCAACCAGCCTCCCATCGCTGGCTACCAAACAAGGCCTCCAATCCCGATAATTTGTCCAGCTGGTTGCACTTGCAACCTTCACATCAATGACCTAGGACTTACAGTTAACTGTAAAGAGAAAGGCTTTCACAACATCTCTGAGCTCCTCCCTCGGCCTCTCAATGCCAAGAAATTGTATCTCAGTGGGAACCTAATACAGAAAATCTACCGTTCTGATTTCTGGAACTTCTCAAGTTTGGATTTACTGCATTTAGGGAATAATAGGATATCCTATGTCCAGGAGGGCGCCTTTATCAACCTGCCAAACTTGAAAAGTTTATATCTTAATGGGAATGACATCGAGAGACTCACCCCTGGGATGTTTCGAGGGCTGCAGATGTTGAGCTATCTTTACTTTGAGTATAACGTCATCCGTGAGATACAACCCAACTCTTTTTCCCTAATGCCAAACCTGCAGCTGGTTTTTCTCAATGACAACCTGCTGCGCTCCCTCCCCACCGATGCCTTTGCTGGCACCAACCTTGCACGCCTCAACCTCCGTAACAATTACTTCCTTTCCATGCCTGTGCATGGTGTTCTTGAGCATCTGTCCTCCATTGTCCAGATTGATCTCCACCAGAACCCGTGGGACTGCTCCTGTGACATCATCCCCCTCAAACAGTGGTTAGAAAAACTCTCCTCAGTCATCGTGGTTGGAGATGTCTTCTGCAAGACACCTGAGTATGCTTTTGGGAAGGACCTGCGCTTTCTGGAGGTTGAGGTCATCTGTCCTGAGCTTAAGTATTCTTCTGTACCCTCACCTGCTCTGCCTGGGGGGGACGACTACACCACGGGGAGCTCTAACATGGGGGAGGCAGGCGGGAGAGGGGCTGTCCCACTGTCTGTCCTCATCCTCAGCCTCCTCATCCTCTTCATTTCTGCTGTGTTTGTGGCTGCCGGGTTTTTTGCCTTTGTTCTTCGTCGCAGGAAGAAGCTACCCTACCGGAAACGTTCTGAGGTAGATCTGACGGGTATCCAAATGCAATGCAGGATCTTTGAGGACCCACCAAGGCAGAGTTGTGCTGGCAATGCTGGCACACCAGAGAAACCAACACCCAGTATGCACACACACAATCACACGAGTCACACACACGCCCACGGTCACGTTTATGATTACATCCCCCACCCCGTGACTCAGATGTGTAACAACCCCATATATAAGCCTAGAGAGGGAGAAATAGCTGAGGACGACAGAGCACAGTTTTCAGAGAAGAAAGACAATGGCACCAGTAGCAACAGTAACTACAGAACCTTGCTAGAGAAAGATAGAGAGTGGACCATGGCCGTTTCCAACTCTCAACTCAACACCATTGTCACAGTCAACCACTCAACGGCTGACATGGCAGGATTTCACGAGAACGGAGGGCTCTGCCCTACCGTCATTGACAGTCAGAGGCCCACACCGACGGTGGGCTTTGTAGACTGTTTGTATGGGACGGTACCCAAACTAAAGGACATGCATGTGGCGCATGCACATCCACCAGGCATGCAGTACCCAGATTTGCAGCAGGATGCACGGCTGAAGGAGACATTGCTTTTTACGGCGGGGAAAGGCTGTTACCCCGACCCGTCCCAAAGCGATTACCTCGAGTTAAGGGCCAAACTTCAAACCAAGCCGGATTACCTCGAAGTCTTGGAAAAATCTTACCGGTTTTAACATCTGAAATCCATGCGGGGGGGGGGGGAAGCAAAACACAAAATCAACACATTCACTTTGCCACCCTCAAAGCAAAATCTCCCAAAAACCAATATCAAAAAAACAATAACTTGAAAAAGCAGCATGGTAAAAAAGATATATTATTATACGGTAACAACACAGTTCCCCCCTCCCCTCCACCCCCACCCCCCCCCCAAATCACTTTGGAGGAGAGGCCATTCTCAGATATTTCAATGAAGTGCCTTTTTTTCAGAGTAGCCAGCAATGTCAACAGCCGTTATTTTTATATTATATAAATATCTCTATATGCCCGAGAGAGCAAAAGAGGAATAAGAGGGGCACCGGGGAATAAAAACATACAAAACATCTTAAAGTACATCTCTCACTAAAACCCCCTTTTAATGGAGTTACCATGGTGTGAAAGACACACGGGAGCTGGACGTCTCCCTGACTTGGGGGGTTTTCTTTCTGTTCCTTTTACCCCTGACTAGGATGCACAAACACCTGGAGGCCGTGCACATGAAGTTTGTAGGCGATGGAGGGAAGAGAGAGAAAAAAAAACTATATATTCAAATGAACTGCAGTTTGCTGCATGCACTCACTTCATTGCAGGAAGTGAGGGGATTTACTCATACCTATCACACTCATTATGAACAGAAATACTGCAACGCATTTACAGTTCAGTGTTCTATTTAATTTTTATATCTTATTAATATGGTTATTACTATTAATGAGGACTTTTCTCTATATCAGGGTGCTTCTGGTAAAAAGGACGCGCCGATGTACGGATGGTAAAACATTTGTGAATATTATTATAAGACAACGCTCAAGGTTTTCTGGATATTTCCACGCACTTTGTTGACCCCCCTTCCCCTCCCCTTCCATTGCTTCTGGATTCCCCATTGTCACCCACTAATGGCTTTGTAGGAAGCACTTTTAATGTTTTCTCTCTCACAAAGATTTGAAGAAAATTGTGCATATATTTATTCTGTAATTTCAGTGAAGAATTTACTTGTAAAGGTAATGTTAAATCAATGTATAGTGATTATGCGTCTGGTATAGCCTTCTTAATAAAAACAAACTCTTCAATCAAATGATGAAAGGGTTGATGCCACGGGAACCTGTGTCAAGCGCTATTGACAGGCTGTGTATTTGGTGTCTAGTTTCAACGGCATGTTGGAGAAGTGGCCAACGAGCACGAGACAAAGCTGCTGGAAAAAGGAGGAATAGCTACTGAACCAATAGAGTGAGGCAGAAATGTAGTCGAGGGCAATAACATTTAATCTTAGTTCAGCTCATTATTTTTGGATTAGCGCAAAAGTAATTTATGTTTTAGGGGAAAGGTTTATTTTTTTCTTCTGAGAAATAATCTATTTTTGTGTCTATTTGTAGTTTGTCCTATGATCCTGCCCCTGCTGGATATCATAGTGCACAATCTTTATTTGCCACTACATCACTGGTCCTAGTTGTGTTGAGTCTAAACTCAGAGCCAGAACAAGTGAAGTAACCGCTGCTGGTTTTAAAGTGGATTATATCACAGGATATACCAAATCAGTGAGGCATGCTGCAGTTTGAATTATATGAATGGGTATTGCTGATGCAGGCTAACTAATGGTAATAGGGAGGCAATGAAAAAGAGATACGGAGAAGCTCATTTGCACATCTAATTTTTCGGACTCCCTCTGAAGTAGCATTGTGGACTGAGTCCACTGGAGGGCGATATAAAGCGTTCAGGTTCTATAGGTATTAACTAGATTGGATGCAGTTACAGTATAAAGTAATGCACAAAATGCTTATCTTAAGAGGTCATCAAGTCTTGTATTTTAATGAATTGTTTTCAAAATATCTATATTACACCTTAATGTTGCAAAATATATTTTTATTCATTTCAGCGCAATTTCACCTGTTTCATGTTTTCTCCCCTATTTCACATGATTGATTTCAACCTATTGTCTTGAACATGGCAGAATAAAGCAGCTCTATAATAAAATAAAAACTTTATTTTCAAAAAAGAACATTTTGGAGGGGCTTTATAATGCTTTTGCGTATTGGTATATTACGTTTCCGATTGCTGATTGTTGCACATTGACATGTTTGCATTGAGTCCTTACTGTAGTAGCATTGATCTCGAGTAGTCCAGCAGCTCTTAACTGCTAAACTTTTTTGCTGTCACAATTTTAGAAATCGTATGATTTTTGGGACCAAATAAGCTGAAAAAAAAAAAAAAGTTAGGACTATCTTTGGAAAGAACAACACAGTATTTTTTTCCCACTGTCCTGGAGGGAAATTTTTAATTAAGAGCTTTTCATTTGTTTTGTTTCAAAATGAGCATGATGTGCAATTCATTGGTTCATCTTGATTTTCTAGAAGAGGTTATCCTCCGTTTTAGAATTGGGTGTTAAAGTTTCTCATATGTGTCAGCTTATACTAAGTGGAAGACATGTAGCAAACCACATACCTCCCAGTTAAATGGGAAGTCTCTTAGCCAAGTCTGTGTGTCATCTCCAGTATTGATCATCAATGATCCAGTCTATTTATCAATATGGACGTTTACCATGTTTTGTATTAATTGTTCAGTTTTGTGACACAAATGATTGAAGGATACCTTCATATAAAGCCTTTTTAAGCATGATGGCATTACGTCAAGGCTTTTTGTTTACACCTTGCAGAAACGTTCACAACATTGTACCCCATATTCTGCTGCACCACCTAATTTGTCTGCTCCTTGTCTTACCTTATTGGCTTAAACACATACATACACACATAGACAAATGGACACACACATAGAGCCGTACTTTCACTGACCAAGAGATTAGACTATATGGTCAGCATTTTCGGTGTGCACTCAGTTTGATTAAAAACATAATGCATTGCTCTGTTAACCTCGACCCTCCCCGTCTCCCCCACCCCCAAATGAATACATGAATAAACTTTTTGGATCATTGATGATTTTGCTATAGTCCCATATCTTGGTAACCTTGTATCCTCCCCAACCTGGCACCCACCTTCCATAATATTTCATAAATGAGTGTTGGGCTTTTGTCCCATTATACCATGCTGAGTGGTTTTTACCCCAATAAAACCTCCTGTTATCCTGCACTAATACCTCCAAGTAATGTCATACTTTGGTAGAGTATTGGATAGGGGCGACCAATGGAGGTTGGATAAATGTTTCCTTTACGTGTGAAATGTAAACATGCCCTGCTGGTCCAAATTGTCTTCTATTATCTCAGTGATATTTGAATTTCGCAGTGGAGTTAACCTTTTTCTTCAAGAACTCTCTCTCGGGGTTTGTACGTTGGCAAGACTTCAGCACGGTAAATGCAGTGTGTGCCTTTTTCTTCTGTCCTTGGCTTTTCTCTGTCTCTGTCCCTGCAATGTCTTTCTCTCTCCCTCTTTACGTCATCTGCTCTTTCAGTTTTTTTCTGCTCTGATTTTGAGTCGTCTATTCTGTGTTTCCAGTCTTGAATGTTGCTTTGGCTGTTGAATCCTTCCTCAAGCTTTTGTCTTTGTTTGCTTGAATTCTGTTATTTTAACAATCTAAACCAACTTTGAAAGCAAGGAAGATAAAAACCGAATTTTGCTTTTCAAGTTTCCTTTAATTCATCTCAGTTTTATTATTTCGTTAGCCCTAACTTTTGTGGAACATAAATGCCTGTGTTGAATATTCTTCGCATTCTTGGCCTTTACCTGCACCCTAGCTTACCTTTAGGCGCTCCTTTTATTTATATATATTTTGTAGCCAGGCTTAAGTTGGTTGAATTATGTTCTATGACACAGCTACAGGGATCAGGAGACACACATTCAAATAAAACACTGACAATAAGTTGCTGTATGCCATTTTTTTTGAGTTCTTGAGTTGGTTTTGGCTGGTTGTACTTGAAAGTAAAATTGCAAGAATGCTTGGCATGTTCCCCCTCAGGCGTGTATCTAAAAGTTTAATTAAAACATAATGCGGGATATAACGAAGCAAAGCATTCGTATAAACCAACAGGTTAAGTCATGATTGTTTAGAACTTGCTCCTTTAAGAGATCTGGGGGGTATTATAAGCCTTTCAGGGAAAAGCTTCTGTACACTCTCACGCCATTTCGCTGTAGCTATTTGTTGTTGGCAAAAAAAGAAAAAGAAAAAACAAGTGGATATTTTTTTGTGTTGAGTGGAGGCAGAAACCTGGATATGACTGTGTGGATTAGTGGTACACTTTTAAGGTGGTCTCCAGGGATGAGGTTTCATGTGTGGTGTGATGCTATTTTTTCTCCCTCTCATTTCCTCCAGCATTTTTTGCTCTGGTTATTTTTGGGCCTTTACTGTGAGGAAGCAGCAGGGCGATGTCAGTTGTCAGTCCCCTTATGAGTTTTTTTTTTTTTTTCGTGTGTGCACACATGCTTTCATATGTACAGTACGTACTTTGGCAGATGGATGGATTCTCTGCCCCCCATAAGTGTGTTAGTTCAGTACTTGAGAATGTTGGTTAGCCCAGACATGATTTTGGAAGGCAGCACTGAGTGAACAGTGAGAGGAATAAAAAGATGGGAGGAAGGGATCAGTTTGAGAGCACTATTGATGGGAGGGGGAGCACAGACAAGAGGCTTAGGGAAGGGTGAGAGAACATGGAGTTGTCAGGAGAGGATTGTGAAGGATGTGCCACTTAGAGAAAGTAGGGATTCTTCTTTTGCTCTTTTGTCACCGAAATAAGCTGTAATTGTCCAATTAACCAAAAAGAAAGTCCAAAGCAGAGAGAGAGAGAGAGAGAGAGTAAAAGAGAGAGACAGCACTTTATAAAGAGGCTGATGGAGGGTTGCAAGCACTTAAATTTTGCATTATGTGTGTGTGCATGTAGTTTGATATGCTTTCTCCATTTGGGAATAAGGGAATTATCTCCAGTTTGCTGAAAAGCCAATCTGTCTCTGACCATGGTGCTGAAATTGCAGTAAACTGCAGGTGCTGCATACAGAAAGTCACATTCCACTTTCTTTGTGCATGCGTGTTTGTGTTGTTTGGAAATCTGGAGACGGCTCTTTTGCTCTGTGTGTGTGTGTGTATGTGTGTGTGTGTGTGTGTGTGTGTGTGTGTGTGTGTGTGTGTGTGTGTGTGTGTGTGTGTGTGTGTGTGTGTGTGTGTGTGTGTGTGTCAAGAAAGCGTACTTGACTTTGTGCAACTCTGCTGATGGCAGAACTTTTTGTCTTCTTTTCTTTGTGGTTAACTAAAGTGCTGTACATCTGTTTGTGGCTGTATTTATAGAGACAGAAAGTGCAGCCTTTGATACCATATACATGCACTACATTTACCATTGATACTATGTCGCATACTGCAGCAACTGTATGCCACCTTGAGTCATCCTATAACACTGCCATTTATTTTTTTAAAAGCCACAAAAAGCCTACCTAACTGTCACTAAAATAATGCTTATTCTATCTGTAGCGTAAATATATGTTACAGTATAAAGCCAGAGAGAAGCTGCAGACAGAAAAACAGAGAGGAAAGAGAGCTACTTGGGACAGTTTCCTTAGTCCTGAAATCCTGAGAAAGCCTTAAACATCACTTGACTATGCTGCAGTGCAGGAGCTCGACTGACCCGCTATGTTGAAAAAGAGAGAGGGGGGGCGGGGGGAGGGAGATGAGAAAAAAAAGTGAGAAAAGGGGCTGCAGAAGGAGAACTAGAGTGTGAAAGAGAGGAAGAGGGTAATTCTCAACCCTTGGCTACTTCTGCTACCGTGGGCACCGTAAAAGTCATGAGGTTGTACAGTTTGCCTTGTGAATTTTGGTTCCCTGGAGATTGTGGTCCTCTCTTATGTCCAAAAAATAAAAAAATAAAAAAATAAATAAATTCTGCAAGTTGGGGAAAGTTGCAGTCATTTGTGCTGCTCAGCATTGTGTTACAGTCTTAGCTTCGGCAAGAAATATCAGCAATCTGTGTTATCACTCACTAAGGGAAGAGTGGGGAGGCATAATTTCATAAAGTAAAATATGGAGCATAGTGTCCCTGGCTGGTGTTCTGAATAGCCCGTCTCTGTCTTTGTTCCGCAGTGTGGGTCCTACTTTGTGCTTCATACTTAAAATGACTGCTCTTTTTCTGCACCTTGATTTTAACAACGATGAGCTGGACCACTTTTCTTTCTGTTATCCCCAAAATGCAACGTAAATGCAAAAACATAATCATCTGCATCCTCTGCATATTGCAAGTGTTTTTTGTTTTACATATTTGTCACCTCAGTTTTTTTCCCACCTAAATGCACATTCCTTTTTTTTTTTTCACTTTCCTTCATCTTGACCATCCCAATCTCTTCACTCCATTTTCACACCCATCCATGCTTCCGTTTCTTGTGTCGCACACAGACAAGTAGCAAACAGTTGACCTGCTGTCTCTTTTGATAGCCTGCCGTGTTCTCAGGCTTTATAATATTCCACTGACGCTACTGAGTTTGCAGCTCGCCCCCTGAGGCTAAATCTACAGTGTATGCGTGTGTGGTTTTTGTGGATGCATGTGTGTCCTATCGCCATTGGGATATCCAGGTGCATTTCTTTTAGATAATGCTCCATCAAATCTACAAGTAACCTGAGGAAATGGGCCAAACAGCTTCAAATAAGGGTCTTATTAATGGGTATCAAAACTGTCTACCCTGTTGTCTTTCATTTGACATCCAGTGTAGTTTCTTCTGCTGAAAGGTTACTGTATGATGTGCTGCTTGAAAAGCAAAGTGGTGATTATATAAAGACGGATACATACCCATTAAGACAAATCTGTAGTTGATGCTCTTATTTTCTTTCATAATGTAACATCGAGGCATCATGAATTGAAACTGTTTCATAACCTCTGAAAACTAGCCACAGAATTTGAAACTGTTAACTAAAATGTTCCATTTAGACATGGGATATTCTGACTGAACTCATTGAGGTTTAATTGGGAGAAAGATGTAGTGAGAGATAAATAATTCTGGTGTCGCTTTTTGCCTGCCTGTAATACTTTGACATTCACCTCCTCCTCTTAGGTTGTGAATAGTTTAGCTGGCCAAGGCCACCTGCTGGTGGTTTGTGTAGCTGATGTTTTTGGTTATTGAAAGAAAATACCTGATACATAAAACAAGCCTGTAAGAGGTTACAACATTCTGTTGCAGAGAAAGACAAAGAGAAAGGAAGCAGAGACACTGAGGAGAGAAAGAGAAGAGAAGCAGAGACACTGAAGAAAAGAAGAGAAGCAGAGACAC